TGGTCTTTTTCTCCTACTAATCTGTTTGATGTTGATTTGCTCAGTCAAGTCCAGGAAGAACCCAGGTGGGGTGAATGTTCTCCTGCACCCGACAAATTCCCGATAAAAATGCATACAATGAAGCTAATCCTGGGGCCTGTCAGACCCAAAGTGAGGACCATTCTACAAAATCAACAGCCTCCATTCTTCAAAAGTGGGAGAAAATGGGGCCTCCCTGGTGACGCAGGGGTTAAAGTCACAGCACTATGAAGCTATCACCAGCCACTGCAGCACAAGTTTGATTCCTGGAGCCTCCCTGGTGGCACAAGGGGTTAAGACACAACCTATGGGGGCCTCCCTGGTGGCGCAGGCGGTTGAGCTCAGCGCTGTGAAGCTGTCTGCAGCTTCTGCAGTGCCGGTTTGATCCCTGGCGGCCTCGGAGCAACCCACATGGCCAGCAGACCTCTCCTGCTGCTCCCCTCAGCAGCGTATTTCAGTCAGTCTGCCAGTTCTGTTTCTTACTCTGTCTCTGGTGAATCCTCTCACCCTCCCGTACATCTGGCCTGTACGCCGGTTCTTGTATAAATAAATAAAAATCTTTAAAAAAAAAAAAAAAGACACAACCTATGAAGCTGTCTGCAGCCACTGCAGCATGAGTTCAATCCCTGACCAGGGAGCTGACCCACATGGCGTGGCAGACCTCTCCTGTCTTGCCCGCTGCTCCCCTCAGCAGTGTATTTCAGTGGATCTGCCTGTTCTGCTCCCCACTCTGTCTCTGGTGAATCCTCTCACCCCACACACACCTCTGGCCTGCACCCCAGCTCTTGTGTGCATAATTAAATAAAAATATTTTTAAAATGGGAGACGGCAGAAGACTGGGAAGCAGATCCACTTGGAAGGAGGCTACAGAGCGACAAATTAATTCACTGTCCCCTAGACTGGATCCTAAACCAGAAGATTTTGTTTCTTTTGCAAGAGTGGATGTTTAGTGGGACAGTCGGAGATCTGAGGACATCTGTAGAGAAGCTGACGGAATTGTCTCAGTGGGCATGTCCTGACTAGGGTTGCTGTTTTGTGGGTGTATAAAAGCAGGCCCTTATTTTCAGATCACTGGAGAGTTAAGGAGAAAAGTTCACTAACTGCAGCTCACTCGTCAACAGAGGCGGGGAGGGGCTTTCTTCAGAATCAGCTGTTGGGCACTTAACTTTCCCCACGTGTTGAAGAGGGGTGCAGGGGGCCGTGTTCAGAGCAGGAACCTTGTGTCCTGGGTCCTGGGGGGATGGGGCAGGAATCCTCAGAGGCTGAGCTGGACCCGCACCTGGAGTTGCCTGCAGGCAGGCTGCTGACCTGCTGGTGGTGGACTCCAAGCACAGGACCAGGCTGTCAGTGGGGGGCCCTCCCAGCTAAGGCCCTGGGCTGGGCTGGGGTAGGGCTGGGGGCTGGTGCATGGGACGGAGTTCCCGAAGCCTGTGGGCAGGGCGGGAGGGGAATGGGCAGTGTGGCCCTGGTGGGGTGCTCCAGGCAGCCGACTGGGGAAGGAAACTGCAGCATGAGTTGCTCTCAGCAACTGGAGCTCCAAAGAGCCCCCCAAACAATCCACCAGAAAAGAAAAGAGAGCAACATAATTCATCTGTCCCGCCAGGCGAAGGCCACAGCAGAGGGCATGGGCACCAGATGAGGAAACCGTGTTCTTTAGCCCCATCCCCCTGCCCGCATGGCCCCCCTTGGAGGAGGCATGGAGAGTCGGGGGAGGAGGAGCAGGAGAAAGTGGGGGGCCCTGCGGTTCCTCTGTACATGGCGATTACAGTCGCATCGCCCCACTGGGTTAGGATTAAAATAATCCCCGCCGGCGCTCGGCGCGCAGCGGGGACGGGGAACGCCCCGTGATGCCCCAGGGACAGCGGGGGTCGGGGGACGGTCCGCGGGGCTCAGGATGGGCCACAGATTCCCGACTGCCATCACAGGGGCGCAGGGACGTTCGCGAGCAGAGAGGGGTGCCTGCAGATGGCCACTGCCGGGGCCTCCGCGCCGGGGGGGGGGGGGGGGGGGGGCTGAGCTTCTGCAAAGGAAACCAAACCGCCCGCGTGGGCTGCGGGGGTCCGGGTGCCGCGCCCGAGGCGCACCCCCCAGGCTCGGGGAAGACTGGTGCACCCTCTCTCGGTGCGATGCGCCGGGCACCCCGCGGGCCGGCGAGGATCTGGGGCCGCTGCGCCCGGCCCGCTGTGGAGGAGCAGCGCCCGGGCTGGGGGTGCCGCGGGGCGCCGCTGGGGGAGCCTCTCGGCGCGGCCGCCCTTTGGAGCAAACCCGAGAGAGGCACCTCCCTCCCCCAGACCCTGGGCTGCCATTTCACAAGGCGAACGGTGCGCCCTGGAGTCTGCAGAGAGGAGGGGCCCTCTCTGAGCGTTCCTGGGGAGGGGGTTTCTGAACCCAAGCCCGCACTTGGGGTGCGCGTGGCGAATGTTTGTTGACACTTAGAGGAAGATTAGGCCAAAGCCCCCGGCCTACGTGTCATAAACATTCAAGTCTGTGATCCAGCGAGTGCTGCGTGCAGAACGGAAAGCAGGAGACAGAACATTATGATTTAATGTTGCAGGTGGCGGGACAAGAGGGCTGCAGAGTCCAGGCTCCTCCCCAGCCAGGGTCTCACAGCCGGGAGCAGGTTCCAGCCCTGCTCCCAGGGCCTCCCCGAGCCTCTTCGCCTGGATGTGCCTCTTTCTCGCCTCAGGTGACCCCGCACAGTGCAGCAAAGAGCCAGCGAGGTCAGGACTGACAGGAGGAACTGACAGGCAAGACAGTGACGCGATCAGATTTGATGCAAAGAACAGCAACAAACCAAAAGAGAGCCAAGATGAACGAGAACGTTCTGACATGCTGACTGGGGAAGAGCAGGACTGAATCCCCAAAAAACCCCGCAGGATGAATGACGTCTTAGTCATGGAACTGACAGCAGGAGGGAAACAAGCCACACAGATGTGGGAGCTGCTGCTCAGGGGGTTCAAGGCAGGTCGCTGGGCTCCGGGTGGACCTGGAATTTCGGGCGTATTTTATGTTCCTTCAGCTCCATCTGGTTGTAGAGGGGCTCCTGGGTCACTTTAGGTCCCCGGGGTTTCGCTGGAAGAAATGGCAGCTGCTCTGCTCTGGAGGCTGGGGACTTGGGGTGACCTTCCTTCTGCCTCCCCTCCAATCCCAAGCCAAGGGGAAACGGTTGCTACCGGGCAGCCTTTGGCTCAGGCGCTGATCTAGGGTCCAAGTTCAACAGAGAGTGGCCGGATGGGTTTCATGAAAGTCAGAATTCACTGAGGTTTTCTCAGGCAGTGTGCCGAGAGCTCCCGGGGCCTCACAACTGCATGAATTAAGAACTATTATTGGGCCTCCCTGGTGGTGCAGACGGTTGAGCACAGCGCTGTGAAGCTGCCCGCAGCCTCTACAGCATGGGTTCAATCCCGGCCAGCCTCAGAGCAACCCACATGGCGAGCAGACCTCTCCTGTCTCGCCCGCTGCTCCCCTCAGCAGTGTATTTCGTCAGTCTGCCTGTTCTGTTCCCCACTCTGTCTCTGGAGAGTCCTCTCACCCTCCCGCACAAATGGCCTGTACCCCACTTCTTGTATAAATAAAATAAATCTTAAAAAAAAAGAACTATTATTATTACCCCCAGTTTAGATATGGGGAAACTGAGTTTCAGAGAGGTTAAGTGAATTTCCCAAGGGGGTGCCGCCGGGGCGCCGCTTGCTGACTTCAGCCAGCAAGAAGTCAGCAAGCTCAGGCTGGCATCTTTATTTGGGAGCCTGTATCCTTCCCCACCTCTCTGCCAGTTCTTGTCCTGTCCAAGCCCAATTTAGAATCATTTAAAAGCACCCCAGACTGCTCTTCCCAGGAGGGACAGCGGAGGGCAGTGTAACCAGCAAACATCTAGAGTTCCGCCCTCCTCCAGGGTAACCACCACCACCCAGAAAATGTCTAAGGAATGTTTGTTTCCGCTAAACGGAGAGGATATGAGAAAAACCCACTGTGACACCAGGCCTGGCACCACCTCCACACAAGTAGCTGAGGAAGTGGCCGCTCCTGCTGTGGCTGTCCTGGCCGGGCACACCGGCACACTCGGCTTTACACTCAGGAAGCCCTCCAGCAGCTGAAGAAGAAGCAGGGAAGTCGGTGCAGCGAGAAGAGCCGGTCGCTGGCCTAAAGGCAGTTCCAGTGTCTTGGGGTCTTGTTCCAGTAACCGGGTTCAGCAGGGGGCCCAATGCCTCCTCCCTGCTCCTGGATTGCACACAGGAAACCTGACTCCCCTCTCACCACCTCATCTGCAAAAGTCAGGCTGACGAGCTAGTCCTGCTGACTTGGGTGCAGTGCCCTCTCCAATCTTTCTAGGGCACCGACACCCTCGCAGGGGAGCAGGCAAGGGGCCCTGGCAGTGGACATGCACGTGGAAGGACTGGGCGGGAACTGCCTGCCACCAGCGCTGGGGAGGCCAGCGGTCACTGCAGCGCCCGCCTCTGCACAACGGGTGGTAACACCCACTCTCAGGGCCGCGGAGGGCGCCCTTCAATATTGCAGATGCACAAAACATCTGGAAATCAGAAGGTGCCCATCAGCGGGACACCCCAGCCCCCTGGCCCCCCAAAGGGCAGCATGCAAGAATGAGAACGTCGGGAAACATTAGCCAGATGCTATGGAATTCCGGAAGGAAACATTTCTTTCCCATTTCGGCTGTTTGAGAACTCACATTGGGAAAACGATAATGCAGAACAAATGGGGTGATGGCCGTTTCGGGGTGTCACTCACTACTTTCCCTGGACCGCAAGCTTGACCTTCCCTACCAGCCCAGGGACTGAGTCCAGGGGCTTCTTTGGGATCCGGGTGTGGGGGCCTCCCGGGACGCGCCAAGCAGGGCGGGGCGCGGGGGCGGGGTGGGGGCGCCCGCGCGAGCCCCCCCCGCGCCGCGCCGCCCGGCCCCGCCCCGCGGACTACAACTCCCGGCAGGCCCCGCGCGGCCCCGCGCGCGCCGCCGGCGCGCCCGGAGGATGCAGAAGCCGCGGCGGGCGCTGAGGATGGAGGCCGCGGAGCCAGCGCCGCCGGCGGGGGCGGGCGGCCGCGCCGCGGGCGGCTGGGGCAAGTGGGTGCGGCTCAACGTGGGGGGCACGGTGTTCCTCACCACCCGGCAGACGCTGTGCCGCGAGCAGAAGTCCTTCCTCAGCCGCCTGTGCCAGGGCGAGGAGCTGCAGTCCGACCGGGTGCGGCCCGCGGCGGGCGGGGGGGCCCGGGGGGGGCCCGCGGGGTCCGCGGAGTCGCGGCTGGCGGGGGTCGCGCCGCGCGGCCCCGGGCGGGGGCTCCGCTTCGTTTCCGAAGCCCCGGAGGCGGGAGGAACGGGCCGGAGACGGGGAGGAGGAAGTGGATCTGAGAGGGAGGGATGTGCCCATCGCCGTGGCAACCGGACAACGCCAGGCCGGGGCCGCGGGGCTGCTGAGCGCTGCGCTGAGGGCTCGCGGGCCTGGGGGCTGGTGCGTCGGGGGTCCCTTGGGGGCGCGGGGGTAGACGTGCCGGGTCTTCCCTCCGGCCCAAATGGGGATCTGGATCAGAGGGAAGGAGTTGCAGCGGCTGCTGCTTCTGCCCGTTGGGGCCTGGGTGACACGGGGCGTAGGGGGACCTGGTGGAGGAGGCCCGGGGTGCCTTCGGCCCCGGCTTCATCAGGGACCTGTGCTGGCCTAGCGGGCACATTTCAGGGTTCCCCTCTGGTTTTGCTGCAAACTGCCTGGGTGACCTTGGGTGGGACCCTCCCCTGTTCCAGGCTCAGCCTCCTCTCGGGAACCCAGAGGGCTCCCTCTCTTCCATCCCGTGTGACCCTCTGGAGCTGTGACCTTGGGCAAGTGCCTTCTCCTCTTCGTGTCTGTTTTCCCTCTGTAGCTTTGTGCTGATGCCCGCCCTGCCTCCCTGCAGGCTGCCAGTGTCCAATGAGATAGCAACTCCTTTGGAAACTTGTAAACATCCCCAGAATGACTGGGGCTCTGGCAGAGACACTGTGGGGCTGGCTGGCTTCAGGGGAACAACCTCCCAGGGGCACGTTCCCTGAGCCCTACTCTAGACCCCCCCTCACTACATGCTCACAGTGACCCCTAGTTATGGGGGACAGGAGTGAGGCCCAGAGAGACCAAATCATTGGCCCAAGGTCACACAGCCGGAAAAAACAGAGGCAGGATTGTAACTCAGATGTATCTGACCCCAAAGCCTTTTCGCCCCATCACGCCACTTCTTTTCAGGGAGGAACCATCTCTACACTGTGTTTCCCCCAGTCATTGACTGCACCCCAGGTAACGGGTTGGCATGGGAGGCCTCACTCTTCCACTCTCACCTCCACAGGATGAGACTGGGGCCTACCTCATTGACCGTGACCCCACCTACTTCGGGCCCATCCTGAACTTCCTCCGGCATGGCAAGCTGGTGCTGGACAAGGACATGGCTGAGGAGGGTGAGTTGGCCCACGTCCTGGACCCCACGGGGTCCTCCATGGAGCTCCAAAGCTATCCCTCCTGTAGAAGGGACATATGCTGGCGCCCATGCTCCCTGTCCCTCCTCATCCCTGGCAGAGCTAATCCCAGAGCATCTGCTTGGGCTGAACTGAGGGTTCTACCAAGCGAACAGGCCCAGGTTTTCCCTGGGCACCGTTGGGGCAGTGACAGAGCACATGGGCAGATAGATACTAAAGGAGCCAATGAGGGCCGCAGTGTGGGCAGGGCTGCCCTTTCTCCCCAGCCTCCTGGCAAGCCAGGTATGAAGAGGCAGAGATGGTCATGGCCAGAGCTATGGCTCTTTCTCTTTGTGAGATACTGGGTGACCCAGTATCTCACAGTCCCCGTGAAGGCTTGCACTGAGCAGGTGGGTGGAGAGGGTGCCTGTTCCCCAGATCTGGCAACCTCTGCACACAGAACTGGCTGTGGGTGGAGATGGGGAGGAGGGACCTGTTCTTCAGTGGTGATTTGGTTCCTCCCAAGTCTGGGTGGTGACCCGGCAGATGGGGAAGCTGTGCCCGGGGCATGGCCTCTTGGCAGATCTCCAGCCAGGGGCAAGGACTTCACTGGGTTCCAAGTCCACCTTCCCGGGACACAGGGTGTGGCTCTGGGTCAGCTAACCCGGCCAGGCCAGCTTTCTGACACTTATCCTCCCCAAGTCTCCACTCATGCGTAAAGTGGGGCTGGGGAGCCAATCGGGAAAGCATGTTTGGGAACAACAGATGTCGTGCGTCTCCATGGGCATCTCCCACTGCCCGTCCCTCCTCACTCTGGTGCATGGTCTCCCCTCCCTCACCCCCAGGGGAGACCAAGTGACTCCCCAGTGAATCAGAGCTTCCACATCAGCCCACTGTAGACGCCCGGCTTGACAGAGCCCCGCAGCTTTCAGCTTTCTGGCAGCCCCTGGGGAGCACAGATACCAGGGCGTGGCCAGGGCCCAGGAGCCTGTCCCATAGGGAGGGGAGGTGAACACCGGCTGCGTCACAGCCAACACCTGTTTACAGGCTCAGGGGTTCTCAAAGTACTGCTAGTCCCAGCACCTTCAGGCAGGGCTGTGGGAATGTGGGGTCTGGGAGGGGACTCACTAGCTGTGTGACACTAGCAAAGTCATTTAACCCCTCTGTGCCCACATCTGTGGAATGGGGGACAATAGCACCCACCTTACTAAGCTGCTGTGAGGATAAAAGGAGCTACCAGTGGCCCTTTAGCATAGAGTCGGCCAGTGACGCCACGTTAGTTTTCTGTCGTTTGCAGGACTGAGTGGGGCACTCTGGCAATGACTGTCACTGACTGCTTACTCAGTGTTAGGTCCCTCTTGGCATCTGCCAGTGAAGGGTGGGTCACACATTGGCCTTGTCCCCAGGGAGTGCAGAGGCCAGTCATGGAAAGAACCAGAAAAGTTCCTGTCCTGCAGGAGCTTAGGCCCAGGGCCCTTCCACTTCACTGGAGAGAGGCAACTTGCTGAGACTCTCAGTCCTTTTAACTGGCGGGGACAGTAGTGCCAGCTTTGCACTGTCCCGGGGCTCACGATGAGCAGGGGTGCTTTGAGATCGGGAAGCATGATAGCTGGGACATGGAGCTGCCAGAGACCGCCTCTGCGCGAGGCTTTAAGCTCTGCCGCTGAGGGGCTTTGTGACTTGGGACAAGCTGCTGCCCTTCCTGAGCCTCAGTTTCCCCATATTTTTCAGTGGGGGCAATGGAAGTACCAACTTCTAACTCAGAATTAAATGCAGGCAAAGATGAGCCGTGGCCGGTGCAGTGCCTGGCACTTAGTGTGTGCGTCACAAATGGGGGCCTGGACTGAAGGGTCATGGCCTCTCCCATTGTGGCATTCTAGGGTTCAGTCCCTGCGATCCCGCCCTCTTTGGACAGCCTTGGCGCAGCCCCAGGGCCTGGACTGGAGGACTCAGCACAGTGGAGATACTGGGCCTGCTGAGTGGCAGCATCCAGCCCTCCCATGGGGAATGTGGGGTCCAAGGATTGTCCCTCTTTCTTGACCTCCAAACTCAGGGATGCTTGGGTCATCCACCTTTGTGTGACTGGGTCGGGAGGTGGGCTTGTGGTGGGGGCTTGCAGGGGCCTGGGGCCACGGGCTGCGGCAGCAGGAATGACAGCCGTCCCTGCACCAGGGGTCCTGGAGGAGGCGGAGTTCTACAACATCGGCCCACTGATCCGCATCATCAAAGACCGCATGGAGGAGAAGGACTATACCGTCACCCAGGTGGGGGAGCACTGGGGGCCTGGCAGGCCAGAGCTGGGGGTGCCGGGGAGGGAGGGAGGCAGGCAGGAGAAAGATCAGGAGAGGTGGAATTAGCGGATTCTTTGGGGTGGCCCAGCTAGCCTGTTTCTGCCTTGACTGGACTCGCTGTGTGACCTTGGCTGAGTTCCCCCGCCCCTCTGGAATATAGAGGTGCTGAGAGCGGCCCACACCCCAACCTCACAGGCAAGGTGGGGTCAGTGTGGAGGTGCAGGGCCCCTGAGGGCGGGGGGTAGAACAGGAAAATCAATTATCCATTTCATAGGATCAGCCCGGCCCCTGAGGGCCCCCCCACCCCCACAGGTTGTAGCAGCTGGGCCCTCGGCCTCGGGCATCAGTGGTAGGAAGGGCTGGAGAGTATCTCTGCCCACCTTGGGGGTGGGGGGATTGTGGTGCTCAGGGAAGAACCTGCCGGCGTGAGTGACTCCGAATGCACCCCTTACCTCTTGTATCACCTGTACAATTCTGGCGCGCTCACCCTTTAGCTGGGTGACCTTGTGCCAGTAGCTGACCCTCTGTGAGCCTTAGTGACTCACAGGGGTTGGGGAAGGAGCGAGAGAGGCCATGTGTGTGGCACGCCCCTCCCCTCTCTGGCCTGCCTCTCCAGGGCATGTGTGGGGAGGAGTGGTGTGGGCACGGGGTGCCGGTGTTCCCACGGTGCCCTCCACGTGGCACTCTGCCCGCAGGTCCCGCCCAAGCACGTGTACCGCGTGCTGCAGTGCCAGGAGGAGGAGCTCACTCAGATGGTCTCCACCATGTCCGACGGCTGGCGCTTTGAGCAGGTGAGCGGGGGACATGGGCGCCGCATCCAGACCCCCGGCTTCTGGACAAAGCAGGCCCCTCAAACTAAACACGATGAGGGAAGGCCACGCTTGGCTGCAGGTGGGCCAGAAAAGGGGAGAGGCTGCGGCCTGGGTCTGGGGCTGCTTCAGCACCACGGCATGCCTGGGACGGAGTGGCCAGCCTGCCATCCCAGGCTTCCGCCTGCTTTTGGAAAGCGGCCTGCCGAGCCCGGGGCTGTACACCTTCCCGTAGGGGTCAGCCCGGGCACGCCGGGGGCAGCTGGTCCTGGGAAGGATGGGCACGAGGGTTGGGGAGGGGACCCTGACAACCTAGCGCGGTCCTCAGGGATGGGCCTGAGCAACAGCAAGATCAGGACATCAGTTGGTACCTTGTTGGGGGCGGTTGCCCCCTCAACCCTACCCGTTGTCCCTACTTTGTCCCTCCAGCTGGTGAACATCGGCTCTTCCTACAACTACGGCAGCGAGGACCAGGCCGAGTTCCTGTGCGTGGTGTCTAAGGAGCTGTACAGCTCCCCACACGGGCTGAGCTCCGAGTCCAGCCGCAAAACCAAGGTGAGGGCTCCAGCCTCAGCCCCACCCCCTCCCCGCCGTCCATCCAGCCATCCCTGCTTCTTCTTTCTCCTCCCCGCTGCTCACGCATAGCCCCGTCACAGCCCATGCCATCCATCCCATGCCCCGCGGTCCTGTCTGCTCATGCAGCTACCCAGGCCCAGGCTGGGGTACAGTGAGGTGGGCCATGCAGGGGCGCTGAGAGCATGGACTGGGTGTTGCCTATGTGGTGGCCACATGGTGGCACCAGGGGTGGGGGATGCCTGGAACTGGGAGTCTGGGCACGGTGTGCCATGCTCTGTGTGATGCTGGACTTGTCCCCACCCCTCCCTGTCTTCGCTGTGGCCTTGTCCTCTGTGGTGCTTTCAAGCTTGGAACTTCTGGGCTCCAACTCACCACTTTATTTCCCAGGGACCTGGCTGGGGCAGGAAGGCCACACTGAATCCTACCCCCGTCCCAGGCCCCCTCCTGGGGCGCTCTGCAGGAGAGGGGTCAGGACCCCCCCGGGGTCCATCCTGGCCTGGGAGGCCATCGTGGGAGTGGGCTGAGCAAAGCCCTGGGTCCCAGGCCCAGAGCTGACCAGGAGCGTCAAGGCCTTGGATAGGACCAGTGGGGCAGGCAACCAGCCAGGCCGGGAAGAGGGGGAGCCGTTTCCTCTGGGGCTTTTCCCTGCCCAGTGGAGGCATGAATTCCTGCTTCCTGTCTGTCTGTCTGCCTCTCTGTCCTGTGACTCCCCCTGCCCACCCCACCCCTGTCAGCGCCAGCGTCTGGCACTGCCTCGCCAGGGTGCAGAGAGCACACTGTTCCACCAAAGCCCCGGGACCTGGGCAGCCAGAGCCCGCTGCTGGCACCCCAGATCTAGGCGGCGGTGGCCCTGGGCCTTCCCCAGCCTCATGTCCGTTTGGGGTCAGTCTTCAAATGAGGCCTTCCCAGGTGGCCCTGGAGGATTCCCCAGCCATTCCCCCACCCTGTGCTGCCCCTCGCCACAGCCCCGCTCCATGTACAGCAGCACACCAGCCATGAGCACTCCCAGCGGGGCCCTCAGACCTGCCCAGGGGACAGGACACACTGCCCCAGCTTCTGGGGCTGTCGCCCTCCCCCTGCCTGGAGACCCCAGAGCCACCTGCCTGCCCCGAGAGGGGGCCCCGTGGGGACCGCTGCCAGCAGGCCTTGGTCCCCCGGTTAGCTCTCCACTCTTTCTTCCCTGGGTCCGCCGGCTGGTTCACAGAGCGCGGAGGAGCAGCTGGAGGAGGAGCAGCAGCAGGAGGAGGAGGTGGAGGTGGAGGTGGAACAGGTGCAGGTGGAGGCAGATACCCAGGAGAAAGGTGCAGCCCACCCCCAGGACAATGATTGCTAATAAAAGCGGAGCCGCCCGCCCACTCCCGCTGGAGCCAGCTGCAGAGCCCTGGGGCCCTGGCCGAGGGGGGCGGGCCCCCCAGGGTTAGCTCAGCCGCCCGCCTGGCGCCTCACCTGCATAACCATCCCCTCTCTCACTTTCTCTTTGCAGCCCAGTCATCTCAGGATCCCGCTAACCTTTTCTCCCTCCCACCACCGCCTCCTCCTCCTCCGCTTCCCGCTGGAGGTCCTGCCTCATCTTCATCCACCTCCTCTTCCTCCTGGATCTCATCTGCACCCTGTCTCCTCCCTCTCTGCCCCTGTCCGGGTTTTCTCTCCACCTGCTCGCACCTCCATCCCGGGGCTGCCCTGGCCCCCGCCTCCCACGCCCTCCACCCAGGCGCCCCGGCCCTGCATCCCAGAGCCTCCTGCCTGCCGCCTCCTGCACCCCTTCTGGCACCTCCTGCCTCCCGGCCCGGGGAGGAGGGGCACAGCGGCACCTCCTCTGTGCCCACCCACCCCGCCGGGCACCTCTGAGGCCAGGCCAGCCTGCCCCCAAGCCTCGCCGCGGTGCCTCCTCCTCACGTTTCCTCCTTGCAGGTCCCCGTCTGCGCCCTCTCAGACCTGAGGCTGCGCCCGCAGTGAGGGCTTCTCCTTGGCCCCTCGCCCGCCCCCAGAGCTGCCATCCTTGGTTTGTAGCTTGGCGGAGCTGGAGGGAGGGGCGGAAGCCAGGAGGGTGCTCGTCTCTCATCCTTACCCTTGAGCCAAACTCGTGGCTGATTTTTCTCCCCTCGCCACAGTTTCTCAGCCTGTCTTGGCCTTGGGTGTGAGGCTTTTTGAGAAGAAGACATTTAAGGGGTGGCGGCTCTTCCCCACTTGCTGGTCCACGGTCACGGCCAGAGGCAGGCTGGGAAGGCGGGCAAGGGGACCGAAGCCAGGCGCCTGGCCTCATCCCGAACACCCAGAGCCCCCACACCACAGCCTCGTGGTGCCGGGCGCCCTGTCTCTGCGGGGTGGGAGGACAGGCCACGCTGCTCTCCCCTGGCCTGTGAAGAGTCGGCCAGAGCCGGCCCAGGATTGGGGCAGGTGCCCACAAGCCCTCGCTCGGTCTTACCTGCCTGCTGTGACTTTGGGCAGGTCACTGGGAAACCGTTCGGGGGCACGGTTTCCTCTGCAGTGGGGTCAGACAGCTGCTCTTCGTGACCCTTTTTGTCTGAGCTGGTGGTGACCTGCTTCTCTCAGCCCTGACCTCCCCAGCCAGGGTCTGGGCAAATCTGGCCTCCTGGGGAGCCAGCACCCAGCCCAGGATGGGCATGGGGCAGATGGGCGAGCTGGGGCTCCCTCCTGCTCCCCTCTCCTCCTAGGCTCTGAATCACCTTCTCTGGGCCTCAGCCCCCTCCCTCCTCCGAGGGACCCTGTGACTCACCTGCCTCTCTCTCTCTCTCCCTCTCTTCCCCTCCCCCCCTCCATTTCAATCTCCTCTCCCCCCTCGGCCCTGCATCTTCCTCCTCACTGGCCCCACCCTCTCATCTCCCTCCTGGTTTTCTGACCACCCCCCACCCCATCCTTCTGCCCCTTCCCTCTCTTATTTTCTAGCTGTTACAAGCCAGAGGCGCCCGGATGTGAGGCCCCAGATCACCTCCAGGGACTTGGGGTTCCGATCTGAAATCCTTTATTTTTGTACCATGGGGTGGGCCCCCGACCCCAGGGGGAGGACGCTCTCTCCCTCCTGCCACCTCTGTCTACACCTGCCTCTGGGGGCCCCGTGGGGACCCGCTGGGACTGCTCAAAGCCTAAGGTGCCGGGCCCTGGGACCCCTGGACAGGGGCTCCTGCCCGTCGCCAACTTGCGGCACCTCCCAGCTGTGTCTCCCGGGCCCCTTTGTCCCCTCCCCCCAGGACCCCCGCTGCATGGTGGATGCACCTCCTCCCGCCCCGGTCACATCACCTCCTTGAGCCTTAGTCTCCCTGTCTGTCGAATGGGTCGACTCTTCCCACCCCACCCCACCTACCTCACAGGGTTGTTGTGAGGTTACTAAGAGGAGCAGGGCCCCAGAAAGCCCCAGGGGCGTGTAAGTGCCAGACACAGGGCGACCCTCCTCTGGAGGGAGGACCCACCTAGCCCCGGGTGGAGATTCAGGTATTGGTGCGGGGTGGAAGATATGGGGGGGCTGGCCCTGTGGGAAGGAGGGGTGGCAGACAGTGGGGCCACTCAGGAACTTGTGGCGAGAGAGGGGACACTCTCCCTCTGCCCTGGGGAGAGTCTGGGGCGTCGGGCCGACCGAGGGACCCTGCTGCGTCATCACCTCTGGGACGGGAACTTGCTTCTCGGCTGTGTCTGCTGCCCCCATGTAATAAAACCCGAAGAAACAGCCCGCTGAGCTGCCTCCCTCTTTCTCTGGGTCACTTTTGGGGACCGGCTAAACGCAAGGCGATGTGCAAGACCCACAGGTAACAGCACTTCTTCCAAAAGCCCAGGGACCGCCACTCTCCTGTGCGTGTTAGGGCGCTGGGGCTGGGGGTGGGGCAAACAAGCCTTCGGGGCTCTAGCAAGTGCCCGTCCCTCTGCGCTGCCGTATCCTCATCTGGCCCAGAGGGTGTCTAAGGCCCAGCCCGGGAGTCTTGTCTTTCTCTCGGCAGCCCGGACCGAGTGGAGACACTGGCTCCCTGTCCTCCAATTCCCAGCCTCACCCCACCCTTTCCTGGGCCCCATCAGCTCCCTCGTATCGTTGCTCCCCCCTGTCCCAGGACACCCTGCTTTCTGTGATGACCCCACTCCGTGACCTTCACCTCCCCCCCCCATTGTTGCCTCCCTCTGACCCCCAAGTCCTGGAAAGTGAACCTCAGGGTCCTGCTCCACCTTCACTCGGGGCCTGCTGGACCCTGGGGCTTCTCTTTCCTGCCCAGACAGGGCCCTGACCCCCACCCACCAGCCGCTACCCTGCCTCCCGAGCCCTGCTGGGCCTGCCCTGCCAAGCAGTACCCCTCAGGCAGAGGTTCCCAGAGGGCCAGGTGAGGCTCAGCAGTCCTGCCTCTGGCTGCACCCCTCTGCCTCCAGCCCTGGGCCCGCTTTGCAATTCCCTGCTCTTGAGTCTCCCCCACGCACTTCCTTGGGTAGTGGCTCTGAAATCCCTGCAGACTGGTCAAGCTCTGCCTGCCTCTTGGACATCTCAAAGATCCCAAGGGCACCCCAAGTTCATGACCTTCCCAGAGTTTTTGGCTCCCGAGGTCTTCCAGTCAGGCAGTGGGTCTCCACCTCCCAGCTGCTCAAGCCAGTTCCCGAGGAATGTTCCCGGGAGACCCATCCCTCATCCCACGCGACCTACTGAGGCACCTGGAGGACACTGAGGGGCCTTTAAAAGACCCACCAGCTCATCCCCACTGCCCCTCTGGGTCAAGGGCCCCCATGGTCCTCCCTCCTGGTCTGCAGCAGCCTCCTCGCTGGCCTCCCTGCCTCCCACTCCCTCCACCGTGGTGCCAATGGTAGTTCTAAAATGTGAAGCCACTCGGGTGTCACTCCCCTGCTGTAGAACCCCGAGTAGCCCCCAGGGCCCCTAGTCTTTAGCTCCACCCTCAGCTCTGGAACCTGACCTCAGCTTGCTCCTCTGCTCTTCTGGCCTCTTCCTCGCAACCTCTGTTCAACTAATGAACAGCTACTCTTACTAATATGCATGTTCTTTTGGGACTCTATGCCTTTGCACATGCTGTTCCCCTGCCTGAATGCTCTTCCCCACCTTGGCAACCTCTGAGCCCCTGCTCAAATCTTCCCTCCTCCCGCTGTCTTCCCTGACTTCTTGAGTTTCACGTTACTCCATAGCCCCTTCAACCCCACCCCTTTTGAGATCAGGAGCCACATTCCGTTCATCCCTGTGACCCAAGGCAGTACCTTGCACACAGTAGGGCCTGCGGGATGCTCGCTCAGTAGTGCCTTAGAGAATGCAAAGGGAGCGGGGGACAAGGCCTTTGCGCTGTCTGCTGTGATCACGCAACTGACTCTGCCCTTCCCTCTCCGAGCCTGTTTCTCCCCACAGTTCCAGAAGGAGGTGGTCACTTGCCCTGTCCCCCGCTCTGGCCCGAGGGTCACCACACTGTTGCCTTCCTGCGACTCTTTCTCCACTTGGCAAGCAGGCTGGGTGGGAAGCAGAGTCTGCTTGGTCGGGGCGTGAGGTTGGTTGCCCGAGTCCCCATTCACACTCCAGCGCAGGGCCTTGGGTCAGACGGCTTTATTCCGTAGGGCAGCCGAGCTCCCCTCGGGCGAGGTGGGCAGTGGATGCCCTGGGCAGAAGGGGCGGGGCGAGGACCCTGGAACTGGGGCTCCCCCACCCTTTGGCTTACGATGGCAGCTGGCCCACTTGGCTGTGTCAGGGGCTCCGAGGGTCCCTCCTGTGGGGCACCTTCTACCCCCACCCCTCAGGTTGGGCCAGGTGGCGGGGGGCATCACAGGCTGGACTCTTGAGTAGAGGTGTCCTGGCAGCCTCTGACTTGGGGGGGTTGTCTCAGACACTCCTACTAGGACCTGGGGGCTGCATTATCGATGCTGAGCTATTTCCCCCCAAAGTCAGCCTTGGAGGAAGTTTGGAAAAGGGAAGAATCCAGAGGTGACGCATTGGATGCCAACTCCCTGGCCACGTCAGGTGACCAGCCAGGCCCGAGGAAGTCTTGACCACCAGCTTGTGACCCTCTGCCCTCCCCTGCCCGCTCCGGGGCGATGGGGGATGGGCTGCTGCTTCTGCCTCCTCAGGTCCTGTCACCCCCAAAATACTTGCTCTCTGCCAGGTGGAGGCCCTGGGCTGAAGCCAGGAGGTAGGCCACAGTTCTTCAGGGGGCAGCGCCTCAAGTCAACACCTGCTGGATCCAGCCAATCACACCCGTGATCCGAGTGTAGACACCAAAGTAGTTGGGCCGGCCACAGCCCAGGCCCCAGCTGACCAGCCCTGCCAGGAACCAGCGGCCACTGGGCGCCTTGCACACCAGGGGGCCTCCCGAGTCACCCTGAGAGGAGAGAGGAGCGTCAGGGTCACCTTGGGATGAGGCACCCCCAGGGGTTCAAGTCCTGACTGCTGGGGATTTTCTGAGTGACCCCAAGAAAGTCACATCCCACTTGAAGCCTGTCTCCCCCAAGCCTGATGGGAGAAAGGGCAAACCAGCCCTGCCTGGCCCGGGCAGCTGTCCTGCACTGTGGGTGTGTGCCCGTGCCCCGCCCTCCCTCCGCCCCCTCCTCAGGCTCCCTCTGTGTGCCCTTGGGCACAGTGCCTGGAGGTGGGCGAGGAGTGAACTGGAGCCTGAGAGCTGCTGCCCCAAGGTCTCTTCTGACCCGCTGTCTGTGACGGGGACGGGTCACTCCCCACCCCCAGCCTAGGCGGCGTCTGTGAAGTGGGGACAGCCACCCCTGCTCGCTGGGGCGTCCCGAGGCTGGTGTGAGCAGGGGGCCAGGCCTGGGGCAGTGTGCGGGGGGCCTCCCTCCTCAGCCCAGGGAGTCACCTGGCAGGCGTCCTTCCTGCCCTTGCGGTAGCCGGCGCACAGCATGCGGGGTGTCACCTGGTAGCGATAGGCCTCGCTGCACAGGTCCTGGGGGATCAGCTGCACGTCCACCTTCTGCAGACCGTTGCTGGTGGGGCCTGCCGGTGGGCAGAGGGTGGAGGTGGGAGGATCGGAGGCGCTCGGGAGCCTCGTGCTCCCTCCACCATCCCCCTTGCGTCTCGGGGCTCCCCCCAGCTCTCCTGCTCTCCCCACTCTTGCCTCACCAGCACTGTTTTGGCTCATTCTCTGTGTGGACTGTGGGGACAGAACCCCCCCCCCCGCCAAAGCCTGTGTGGAATGGTGTCTTCCTCCAGCTTCTCCCCCACCCGTCTGCCCTGCGACAGTCCAGGCTCTCCAGAGCACACGCACGACCCCTCCTTCCTGCCCCTAAACCCTTCAGCCTCTGTCCGGCCCAGCGCTCCCTCAAACCAACCTGCAGGCGGTGCACCTGCCCTCCCTGGGGCGGGGCCCTCCCTGGGGCTTGGGGCCGGGGCACCCAGGCTCCAGGTCTTCCTGGACGCCTCAGGTGGGTGTGAAGTGCAGGGGAAGAGAACTCCCGTCCCAGATCCTTCCAGGCTGCCTGTCCTCCCCGCCGACCTCCCCGGCCAGCCCCACGCCTGCAGCCTGTGGCGCTGCCCTCATCCCCCTCTCAGCTTAGCCTCCTGACTCCTTTGCCCCTGAGGACGCCTCCCCATCACGTCTGCTCCCAGCACCCTCCCTCCCCCCAACTGTTCTCTTTTCATCTTTCTCTCCTATTTGCCCGTCACTGTCCGGCACATAGTAGGTGCTCGTAAGTGTGTGGAGGGAGTGGAGGAGGGAAGAAGAACCGACCCCGGCTTTGCCACTGTCCTCCATCATCCTCTGGGGGCTCACTTTCCTCTCAGCCTGGGCCCGGTCTTTCGCTGATCTCAGTCCTGCCCACCTCCAGATTGGGGGTGGGGGTGAGGGGTAGTGCCTTTGCCTGAGGCAGACCGCAGGGGTCTCCCCCCCCACCCCAGGCTGCTCACCTCCCTCACGCTGGGCGCCCCAGCCCGTGATCCAGCAGTGCAGGCCGGGCTCGAAGGAGTGGGAGCGCGCGGGCAGGCAGACGGGGCGCACGGTGGCCGAGCGCACCACCGGGTGGTCGAGCTGCAGCAGGGCCACGTCGTAGTCGTGACTGTCCTCCTCGTGGTACGGGTGCAGGAGCAAGCGGCTCACCTTGAAGGACACCTCCCCCGGCCAGCGCGAGCTCTGCCACACCTTGCCCAGGAACACGGTCCACAGCGCGGGGGAGGCCATGCTGGGGGCGGGAGGGTGGCCTCCTCAGCAAGGCGCCCCCCCTTAGGGGAGCCAGCTTCCCCAGCCGGACTCCCCTGCTGGCACGCCCTGTCCCCGCCGCCCTGCTCTGCCAGGCCAGTGGCCGGCGGGTGGCAGTGCCCAGTGTCGACGCTGGAGTCTGCGCCTGGAACCCCCAGCCTCCCCGTGTGCGCCTCTCCAGCCTGCGGGCAGCTCATCTGGGAAACGGGAATTGTGAGTCTCTCTCTCTCTCTCTCTCTCAACTCACATATTCCTGGGGAACTCCTAAGAACAGCAGGTGACACACGTGGCTCTGTGCCAGGCCCAGATGGTGTCTCCTTTATGCCCGAGCACCTGCTAGACTTTGTGGCTGGCTGGGGCTGGCGGACCCCACCAGGAGGGGCGGGAATGGAGTGGGGTGGTGCTCAGCAGGGCTTCGGGCGCCAAGAGCCCCGCGTGCCGCGTCAGCGTCCAGCTCCGGGGCAGTGGGAGCCCGGGACGGGTGAGAGAGCGGCGTGGACAGACCGTGCCCAGAGCTCCTGGGCTTGGGGCACAGGCCCCAGAGGGGACCTGCAGGGTCACCAGCGGTGCGGACCGCCTGGGTGGGGAGTGCTGAGGCTCCATCCGCCCAGGGAGGAGCTGCCGCCGGCTTCTGGGTGTGAGGGTGGTTTGCTCTGGTGGCTCCAGGTCTTTGGCTGGGCTCGGTGGAGGCCGAGGGCCAAAAAGAGAGGTGTGGGGAAGGGAGTGGGGGGGAGTGGGGGGGCCATGCTGGTGGCGGGCCCAGCCAAGCAGGGAGGGGTGTGGTCAGCCCACCAAAGATGGGGAAGGTGCGTGGATCTGGGGGAGATTGGGGGAGATGCCCCTCCAGGAGGCTGTTCTGGGGCTCCACCCCCACAGAGGTACACCTGCAGGGGGCACGGCCTCTGGGCGGGAGGGGGCAGTCTGTTCTTTGCTGTGGCCCGTGTCTAGCGCAGCCCCGGCTCCAGCAAGCACGGTGAATGTTGCCGGGTGGACGAGGAGTGAGTCAGTTGTCGCCTAGAGCTCAGACACCTGCACCTCCCTTCCACCTCCCTGCCCCCATCTCTTCGGGTCTGGGCCCTTGCCCGTCTCACCTGTCCTCTTGGAAGCAGTGGGCAGCCGTGATCACCCAGCGGTCAGCGATGAGGGCTCCCCCACAGATGTGGTGACCCCGAACCTGGAGACTGGCCTGCCAGGGCCACTCCCCCTCTGAGGACACGGCCCCACCCACGATGCGGCCCGAGGGGCCCTGGAGGCCACAGTCTGGGGGTGGGGGATGCAGAGTAAGAAGGGGTGATGCCGGAGAGGGGCCAGTGGGAAACAGACGCAGAAAGAAACAGGAGGGGACACTTGGAGCCAGAAGAGAGGGCAGGGGTGTGGGGGGGAATGAAGGGGAAGGAGGCGGGCAGAGGCCCGGCCCAGTTCCGGATGGCAGAGACTCGCAGAGCGTGGTGGCTCCCCTGCCCTCTGGGCTTTTCCCCGCCGCCCTCCCCGCGTCAGGGCCCAGCGGGCTGAGGGGGTCTGCCCACGTGCCCGGGCCAGGCGGGCTCACCGCAGTCCAGCTCGTCGGAGCCGTCCCTGCAGTCGGGCCGCCCGTCACACTGCGGGTTGGGCTTCTTCACGCAGCTGCGGTCCTCACAGCGGAAGGTGAAGGTCCCGCAGGGCACCCCTGGGGTGGAGAAGGTGGGGGCAGGGCACCAGGGTGGGTTCCTACACTCAAGGGAGCCTCCAAAACAAAACCAGGGAAGGTGGCGCCCCGAAGTCAGGAGGTGGCCGGGAGGGATCTCCCTTGACACGAAATAGTCCCCCGAGGGTCCTCAGTCCCCTCCCCCCACCGTCTCCCCTCTCACACTGGGGCTCCTGACCAGGTGTGGCACCTGACGACCAAGCAGTGCCATGGCCCTCAGGCTGGACTCCAAGAGCAGGGCAGTGCCTCTGCTGCCAGACGAAGGCTTCCCACCTGGCCGGGCAGTGCCCCCCGGCCTGGCCCCACCTGGCTGCCCTCCTGCCTCGCCCTCAGCTCTTCACTGGCCTCCTACTCAAATCCCACCCCTCCTCCAGGCCCGGTTCAAGGCCTGCCTCCCCTAGGACGTTTCCCTGCCTGATCTCCCCACCACAGCAGTCTCCCCACGCTACCAGACGTGACGTCGCAAAGGCTCTGGGTCAAAGGGAGTCGCCCAGCACGTCTTCCTGCTCTCGGATGACCTCTGAGCGCAGGGCCCACATCTCTGGTGCCTTCTGCGCCCAGTGCCTCACTGCCCTGCCTACCACCGAGTTGTCTGCGGATGTTGGCTGGACGAGGGGGTGGGCGGGTGGGTGGAGTAATGGACACAGACGAGAGTTACGCAGACCAGCGCTTGAGTGCATGGGTGGCCCGGTAGGGACACTGACGTAGCTGGAAGGTCAGATAAATGAATGAATGTGAGGACCAATGGGCAGGTGAGAAGTTAGGGAGATCAGCGGCTGCATGGGCCCCCGTGGGCACTCACGGGGTGCATGGATGGAGGAGTGAGCAAGGGGTGCACAGACAGGCGGTTGGGCGAACCAACACATGGTCAGGCTGATGGCCCAGGGGCTATGGAGGTAGGCGGTTGGGCACGACGGGATGGTGGGGTGAGTGGCCGTGTGAGCCAACCGCAGACGGGTGGTTGCAGAGACTGCAGGAGGGAGGGCTGGGTGGGTGGGGGGATGGATGGACGGGCAGAGAGATGGATGCATGGACAAATGGACATACAGAGGAGTTGTGGGTGTTTGGGCGAGAGGGAGGAAGCCTTTGCTGAAGAAGCATGCAGAGGGGCTGGACTCTGGCTGAGGCCCCTGCTTTGGTTCCCCTGGTGTTCACGCCGCCTCACCTTCCTGGCACTGCTCTTCGTCACTGCCATTGAGACAGTCGGGCTGCCGGTCACAGACCCTGTCCAGGGGGATGCACGTGCTGTCCTCTTGACACTGGAACGTGGCTCTGCACACTACAAGGACACAGAGGGGGGCTGTGGGAGGAGGCCGGGCACCAGGCTGGACTTGGCGACGCTGTGGCACGCATTGAAGCGCACGCACGGCACCATCACAAGTCTTCCTTGGCTGCGTCATGCCTGAGTCTTCACAGGGGCCACTTCACTGGTGGAAGCAGGTGAAGTGGCTCGTCCAAGCGGACTTGTCCTGCCTGAGGCAGACCTTGGCGCTAGAGGGGTTCCAAGCGCGGGCACCTCCCCCAGGCCCGAGGCTTCTCCAGAGGTCAGCACACCTCTCCTCCTGCCTGCTGCTCACCCCACATGGTTGCTGAGATGGGGAGCAGGAAGGTGTCAGTCGATCAGACCGGAAGAGTCGGCCCTAAGGGTGAGTCAGGCCCAGAACCCAGGATTCGGGGAGAGGGATTATTCTGAGAGCGCAGGCCGGGGGACCGGGACACTGTGCCCCTTCTGCCAGGACTGGGCAGCATGAGTACAACCTCAGTAAAAACTGGAAGTTCCAGTCTGAACCCCTGCAGTGGAGGGGTGAGGACCCCACTCAAGGGAGGGAGATGAAGGTTTTTCTCTTTGGCCGGGAGAAAGGACCAGGGCCAGCCTGTCCTTGCTTAACAGCCCTCCTGGTCCTGCTCTGGTCCTGCCTCTCTCTCTCAGTTCCTTCCGGATGCCACACTGGGGGTGATGGCCTGGTGGGGAGATGCCCTGGGCTGGGGTCAGGCGACTGCTCCCAGGCTGCCCCCTGAGCCTGGCCCATGGGCTTGCCCTCCAGAGGTCATAGAGGTCGCATGTCCGCTCTGCACTCCCACTTGCCCCGAGTCCCAGACGCAGGGACCCAAACCACACGTGAGGGCCCAGCTGGAAAGTGTGGGTGGGGGCAGGGGTGGGTGGGCGGCTCACCACAGTTCCTCTCGTCCAGGCCGTTGGGGCAGTCCTTGACCCCGTCGCAGGCGGGCACGCAGAGTCCGTTCACGGAGCAGAGGAACTCTCCGGGGCAGGCTGCACGGGACACTGGCGTCATGGGTGCAGCACGCACACGGCACCTGCGTGCCCACACACATGCCCGGTGCAGCACACGTCCACATGCAGACGTGCAACCGCACACACGTGGGCAGGCAGGCGTGCTCCTGCCTAGGGAGCACTCGTGGGTGCCTCACACACGGCACCACACTCACTCCTGGGCCAGCTCCCAGGCACGGCCGGGGCAGGGCACGCGCGGGCGCCGGGGCCCCGTACTCACGGTCCGACTGGTTGTACAGGCTGTAGTGTGCCTGCACGCCCGGGCCGGTCAGGAAAGTCTGGGAGGTGAAGTTGATGGTGATGCCGGCGGAGGCCACCACGGGGATCCTCTCTGCGTAGGGCTGCAGGGTGCGCAGGCCGCACAGCCTGGGGGACAGAGACACATGGGCTGTCCAGGGAAGGGAAAGCCAGGGTCCTGGCCTGCGGACAGCCAGCTGAGGGGCCAGGGGAGTCGCACACCCACTCCCCTCCTGTCTTGAGCTCTCCCTTGCGTGAGCGCTCACCCCAGGGTCATCTTCTGGAAAGCAGCCTGCCTATCTCACTTGCCTGCCCCCAAACCTCCAGTGGCTCCCCATGGCCTGTAGGATGAATGCAAAGTCCAGAATCTAGCCCCAGCCACCCAGGAGCTGTGAGCCCCCGCCCTGGCCGAGCCGCCTTGCCTCCCTTGTAAGACAAGGGGACTGTCGTCTGTTGGCCTGAGAGCTGACAAGCAGCTCACTGCGTCCTAGAGGCTGAAGTCCTTGACTGGTCTATTCTGTGTGCACGGAAGTCGCGCCCCTTGCCTGGGGCTGGGGTGACAGACAACCCCCTCCCCACTCAGCCCTGTCCCTCCCACAGACACGCAGCCACCACCAGTGGGCTCCCCACACCCTCCAGCTCCCAGGACCATAGCCAGTGCTGTGGCAGCCTCGTCTCTGCCCATGGCCACATCCAGTGGGGGGCAGTTCAGGGATTTTGGGGTTCTTGCAGCCACTCCAGCCTGAGGGGGGAGTTATTCTCACCCCATTTTACAGCTAAGGCTCATAAAGAGAAGAGCCACACGGGGCGAGTCCGGCCTCCTCAGGAGAACCCACCCAGCTTGCTCGACTCCCTGCAAGATGAGCTCCAGGGCCGAGCTCTCCGGTCCTGGCCTCGGCTGTAGCCTCCCTTCACTCTCTGGCCATATTCTCACCCTCAGACCAAGAAAAAGTCTTCAAAATGTGGTCCAGGGAATCCGGGAGGGTCCAAAGTACAAATGACTTTCATAATAATGCACAGATGTCACCTGCCTTTTCACAGGACACTGGAATTTTCCAGAGACCTTGAGGTTTGGAACGGGAAGTAGGTGCGGGGGCATCTGGCGGTCGTCTGCTATTCCAGCCATTTAAGAATGTGGCGAAAATGTAAAGCAATGATTACTTTTCTCATCAAATGCTAATTTTTCATAAAATACGTTATTTATGTTAAAATGTAATGGGTTTTTTATGATTTTGAATGAATTGATTTTTTTAAAACTTTCTCAGTTTTTGTTGCTAACACTGCAAACATAAATCATAGACTCTGTAGCACACATTCCTAGGGTGTATGGTCCTTTCAGAGGGTGTCAAGGGTGCTAGGATGGAAAATTTTGAGAATCTCTTCTTGAAGTTGCCCGCTGTCCCCGGGGACCACACTGTACCGCGGGCCCCGCCAGGGGGCGCCCGGGTGCAAGCCTGGTCTCTGGTCCTTTCGAAACAAAGTCAACAAGGGTGGTTGTTTTTAAAGTGGATAAGCCGATGTCATAGTGGTCACTATCCCCAGAGAATTGCCCTGGGAAGCAGACACGGACCTGAGCCTGGGAAGTGCTGGGCAGGGGGAAGAAGTCAAGCACACTGGACATCCTTACAGGTCAGGGAATGGACTGTCCCCAGGCGGCCACAGGGAGATTGTGGAGACACTGGGAGTCACAGGGATGCTGGTGGGGATGTACTTCCATTTAGAAGAACCTGAAAGCTCTGCGGTCACCCAGAGTGATGGCCAGGGGTGGTCAAGACTGCACACATGATATTTTCTCTACCGGAGACCCAGAGAGAATTCCAGAATCAGCCATAGTTCAGCCTGGCACCTCAGGAAACTGCCCTGCTGGTGGTTGGGTGGGTGGGTGGGAGGGTGGGTGGGTGGATGGATGGATGGATGGATGGATGGATGGATGGATGGATGGATGGAAGGAAAGTTGGGTGGATAGATGGATGGCAGGGTGGGTAGATGGAGGCGTGGGTGGATGGCTGCCTGCATGCATTCCCTTTCCCAAGGACAGGGTAAGTGGAAAGAAGAAGGTGAGCATTGAAGAAGGGAGGGTTACAGCATGTGCCATGGTGGCAGAGCCCTGGGCCTGGAGCTGCAGAGCTGAAATTCAGGTACAGCTTTTCCCCATGAGCCAGCTGTGTGCCTTGGGCATAGGGCTCAACCTCAGCAAGCTGAATTTTCACACCTGTGAAGTGGTAGTACTAACATCTCACTTGCGGGTGTTTGAAGGAATATGCGAGAAATGACTTCCGTGAAAGTGGCAGCTGGCATTGCCAAGCCGTGAGCTCATCTAGGGCAGCAGCTGGGCTGTGCCTTCCGCGGGACCAGCGTGTGCACAGGCTCTGGCGCTCAGCAGCACCCAGGGAGCCTCCGTGGCTGCAGGAGCGCCGGCCGCCCAGGGGCTCCGAGAGCTGAAGGGCTGCCCCTTAATCAAACCGGGCTGGGGGTCTCTGGGAAGGCTCAGGAGCCCAGAGGGGAGATGGCCTGGGAGGGCAGAGCACAAGAAAAGTGACGTCACAGGAGAGGAAGCTGGCAGGAGGCAGGTTCTCAGAAAGGGGGAAGCCAGAGTGGGTTCTGTGAAACAGCAGCCAGTGGCCGGATCTCACAAAGCCAAGTTCCCAAAACGCTTTCAGGGCACTCAAAGGGCATGAGTTCTTGGCCAGGTCAGATGGGCACAGAAGAAGCTGAGCAGGAGACCGGGAGGTAGGGGTTGTTCCTAGGAGTGAGGTTTGATGCCCAAGAAGGCCCAGGAGGTGAAGGGAGCCTGCCTTCCTCATCACTGCGCTGGCACCTGAGGGCTCAGACACCTCTCTCCTAAACCGTCCCCCGGGGTTCCCACCTGTCGTGTTCTGGACCCAAGATTAGTGCCCCCCTCCCCCCACCGACACACACACCCTGTGCTGGAAATTGACACTCCTCTTCAGACCTCTCACGTCTCTGCCACCCACTCATCTAGATTTTCCAACAAATGCTCATTCAAAGAGTTTCCCAGCATCTGCATAAGATGATCATTATCAGGCCAGCCCTAGAGGAAGCGGCCCGCCGGGGCATCCGCTGCGGGGCACCTCCGCCCTCCCTCCCACAGCCAGACCCCGCAGAGGCTGCAGAGCCTGGGGCGGTCACCTGGCACCCTGGACCCTCAACCAAGTCTTGAGAGATGGAGCTGGGGACCGCCCCCCATCCCCACCCAGTGCTCTCAGAGCTGGTCAGCCCTCGCCCGGGATGGGGAAGCCTCGGCCCTCACACAAGCATGTGCGCCCACACGCAGCCGCGGTGTCAGCACGCTGGGTGACAGCTGACCTTTCCAGTTACAACCTGGGTGACGGTCACTGACTGCTGCTCTCTGCGCCCCTGGCTCCTCAGTGGTCCATGAAGGCAGGACGGGCACCTGCTCCTCCAGGCCTTAACTCACATGATGCCAGGGGCCAGCCAGCCCAGGCTGCAGCGGCAGATGTGCCCTCTCTTTATTCCATCCAGGCCTCCCCAGGACCCGGGGAGTGGGGCTCATGTCTGGTTTTTCCCATTTCTCAGATGAGTTACCTGAGGCAGTTTCCCTACCTGTACAGTGGGTGGGGTTGGGCTCCATGGACTGCCCAGCCCACACGTCTGAGAACTTGAATGTGCTTTGTGACTCTGGGCAGGGAGAGCTCCTCCAGCCCTGTTAGAATCTGTCACTGTGCCTGAAACGCCACCCTGGCAGCGATGTCCTTTGCAGCTAGGCTCTGCCCACTGGTGACCCCTATTAGAAGCACACGAGGTCCCCAGCCCAGCACCCAGTGCCCAAACCTTGCGATCCCGCAGCTATGCTGGGGAGGAAGAAGGCCCTGCTTGGGGAGCATGGGTGGGAACGCTGTCTGACCGCTGCTGGTAGTGGCTGGCGGGAGTATGGGGTGGCCCTGGCTGTGGCCCTGCACCCCTAATCCTGCTGAGCCTCAACTCCCCTTCTGGGAAATAGAACTATGATGCCATTGACATCACAGGCTGCTGGGCCAGTGAGCTGAATGCCTTGAACCGAGCCCAGCTAGGAGCCGCCCTGCCCCATGCCAGGACCCTGCCTCAGCCAATGGCAGAGCCAGGGGGCTGGGGGTGAGGTCAGGTGTCTAACTTTGCTCTCCCCCCCAGCTCCTCTCTGGGATACTAGCTTCAGCTCAGGATGGAGAGAGCAGGAAAACGCATCCCATCACCCCAAGTGTGAGTTGTAGGCCACGCTCAGGCGCCCTGTGTAGTCCTGGTGCCAAGGCAAGACCAACACCCGGCCCACCCAGCACCCTCCGCCTGGGCAGGCCCAGGAGGCAGCAAGGGCCTGAGGGAGCCCTGAGGCACATCAAGGAGCGTGGTCAATCTGCCCCACTTTGGCTGATGGGTCAACCAATAAACCAATTGCAAGCGCTGGTGAATGTGGGCACAAATCCCAGGATCCAAGCACCCTCCAATTTTAGTGCATTGGAACCAAGAAGTCTAGAATCTTGCACATTGGAACTCCAGAATCCTGGGCTCCACCAGGATGGAGTTATCTGATGGGGGCCTGGGGGCTCGGAGTGGGGGGCAGGTCCAGCACAGGGTCAGCCCTGTCCTAGTCCTGCCTCTGCTCCTTTCCTATGCTTCCCCTGAGGTCTGGGATCTGGGGGATACCAGTGGGAGGATGGGGTTCAGAGGGGTGGGTACCTCCTGTTCTGGATGGTCCACTGGCCCTGGGTGCAGGGCAGGTCGTACTTCTGCCTCCGCAGTGCGTATGCATCAAACCAGAGGGCCAAGCCATAGTCCAGGGAAGGGACCTGGGAGGGAGGAGTTGGTTACCAGGTGGCGTTCAGGCACAGCAGGGCTGGTGGGCCACCTCCCCCGGCAGCCCTGGGAGGAGGCTTGCCATAGCGCGCTGCTGGGCTGAGGTCTGTCAGTCAATCAACAAACAGGCCAGACCTTGGCCACACTCACCATCTGCCTAGTACTGGCGGGATTTGCACCCTGGGCTCAGCCTGTGGGCGCTTCAGCCAAGGCAGGACAGCCCTCCCCTCCCAGCCGGGGGTCTCCGAGGCCCTGGGGGTGCTCTGGGCACAAGCAGGTGGACAGGAGGGGAGTGGGGCTCACCGTCAGGTGCCAGGAGCAGTGGGTGGTGGGCGGGTAGTAGCTGGGGAAGTACGGTGTGCTGAGGACGCCCTGCGACTCCAGCCGGCCCTCCAGGGTCAGGTTCACCTCACAGGCTGTCCCGGAGAACGGCCATTACACAGGGTCCCCCCGACCCTGCCCCGATGCACCGCCCTGCAGGTGTCACCTCGGGGGCAGCTGTCACCCCACCACGCCTACTGCCAAGAACAGGGTTGAGTGTGACTTTGTGGCCTTGGACCTTAGTTTTCTCCTCAGTAAAATGGCGGCAACAGTGCACAGCAGCCGATGGGATTAAGCGGACCCAAAGCACTCACAGTGTCAATAGGTGTTGCTGCTGACATCTGTGGTGCCGCACATGGCTGTTTACTGGGTGTTTTCAAAACTGCAGGAGAATTGGGGGGACACGGGGTCGGGGAAGGAACAATGACCCCCTTTTCAAAGATGAGGTTCACAGAAGAGCAGCCACTTGACTGAGGGTCACACAGTGAGAAGGGGAGGGATCAGGAGTGCCCCCGGCTGCCCGCACCGCCCCACGAAGTCAGGGTCTCTGAAGCCCCTCACCCCTCTCTCCCCGGAGCTGTCACTGACCCTCCTGGGACTCAGCCAGCACAGCGGCCTCATTGGCCCCAGGGGCCCTGGGAGGGCAGCTGGCACCCCAGGTCACGATCAGCTGGGGACCAGGGTCACAGCCAGCTGACCTCAGGAGTCACCCCCAGGAGAAGGGGGGAAGCTACCGCGAGGGGAAGGGGCAGGAGGGGAAGCAGCAGCGCCCCCTCCCATGAGCTCTGCAAACTGCAAGGTTTGCTTTGCCTGCCTAGGGGCGGGGCTGATCCAGGCTCAAGGATAACAGGAAAGGTGAGGTGTGGTTACCCTGAGAAGGGGTGCAGGAGGGAGATAGGGGAGCAGGAGGAGAGTGGGGGCAGCGGGATGGTCGGTGCAGTGTGCATTAGGCGTGCCCGGCCTGAGCACCAGAAGACCTCAGGGAGACCTGGGCTCCAGTGGGTCCACAGGCCTGCTGACCACAGACCCGCCCCAGAATCAGTCACCAGCTGGGCAGAGAGAAGGGGGTGGAAGCTGGGGTGGGGAGTAGAGACAGATCCGGATGGGGAGAGAAGGAGGGAGTGAGAGTTGAGGGGAGAGGAGAGTGAAGGAGGAGGGAATGGAGTAAGAGTGGAGGAAGGAAGAGAAGGGTCCGGGATGGGACAGCAGGAGCAGAGGTGCTTCCAGAACCTTCCCTCTCCCCCAGCCCATCCCCGACCAGAGCAAAGGAGGGGACCGGCATGTCCAGGCCAACACCCCGCTTCTGCCTCCGTGGCCCTCCCCTGCCCTCGGGACCCTGAGCCCCTCACCCTGGAAGGCCACAGGCTGCACAGAGAGCAGGAAGGGGTCGTAGTAGCTGTGCAGGCCCTTCTTCCACACCACCGCCATGACGGCGCCTGACGCGAGCACCTCCACCACCGGCTCCTGGCGACTGCAGCCGTACACCCTGCGGGCAGAGAGAGGTAGGAGCGGGCCGGGCCTGGGAGGGGCCTGGAGGGTGTCCCGTAAGAGTCTGTGCATCCAGGCCTTCGGCCAGCCAGCCTGCTGTGTGTCCACGGGCAGGTTTCTGACCCTCTCTGGCCCAGAGAACCAACCGGAGGCCCTGTAAGGGTCAGGCAGGCATCTCAAGAGAGAGCGGCCAGGAGGTCGGCCGCACTTCTGAGGCTGAGAGTTTGACTATGGCAGCTGACTGCAGCCCCTTGGCCCTGTCCCCTCAGAATCCCTGAGACCCTGAGTGCCTCAGTCGCACCCCTCAGGACGACCATGGCACCAGAGGGGACCTGTCTCGGCCAGGTCACACTCTGCCCCCAGCCTTGTTCTGGCCTGGGACCGGCCCCTTCCCTACCCCAGGACTCCACTAGAGCCTGCGCCTGGCGGACTCAGAAAAATACCAGTACCTTAGGATCCGGGACTCTTAGAGGTCTGGGATGAGCCCTGAAGAGGCTTTTCAGAGATTGGCAGGGTCAACTGCCTGCCTGGGCGGGCCGCTGAGGCTCAGGGACGTGTCCAGGCCCCACCCGTGGCCACAGCAGAGCACACTTGGCACTGCCTGCGGCCGGCGCCCTCCTCCCTGCAGTGTCTCTGGCCTGCCCATCGCGGGTCGCGGCGGGTGGTGGGGGGCTGGCTTCCCCTTTACCCTCTCACCAACCCCTGCCCAACTTCCCCTTCCCTCCGATGGAATTCTCCGGAGTCCCTGCTAATAGACAGACCAGTGCCAGCAACAGTCCTGTTCCCGCCCCCCCAGCAGACACCCCAGAATCCGGCAGTCGGGGATGGGGCCTGAGGGGGCTGCGCTCCTGCAGGTGATGAGGGAGAGCCAAACATGGCCCCCAGCCCTGCCAGCTATGGCGCCCCTGGAGCCCCACAGGAGTGGGGTCAATAAATCCAAGGGCTTCTCCAGGAGGGTCCTGGTGTCTGAGGTTCCTGGGGTGCAGCATTTCTCAGCTGCTCCCCCAGCACTCCCTTCCTCCTGTGTATACCAGTGGGACTGCTCTCACTGTCTTGCTCCCCAACCTCCACACAGCCCTCCTCGGCCCCAGCTTATCTCCCCAGAAAGCAGAGTTAGGGTTCAGGGAGAGGGAGGTCCCCTTTAATGGTGGCTTCAATTTTCAACTTGAAGGTTTTCTTTTCTTTTGTTTACTTAGTAGGGGGGTCTTTGTTGTAACAAAAATGTCCCCCAGGCAACCAGGATGTGTGACACAGGAAACAAACCCAGAGATTGAAGGTGGGGCAGGGTCTCTTGGGTTTTTTAGTCCCCCACTCATGGCTCTGGGGTGCAAGTTTGAAGATCCCAATCTGGTCTGAGCCATCATTTGAAAGCTTCTCCAAGCACTGGGTGCAGCTACACGGTGTTGGAATAGTGCTGAGTTGGCAGCCAGCCTCCCCCCCAAAAAAGCAGACGGGTTGGGGGGGGGGGCACTCAGAAGCCCCAGGGAAAGCCCGTGAGCACCTTCACCCTCATCAGTCTAAGAATCAGATGATATCTGGCTCTTTGCCTTCCAAGGAACTCAGCCCACGAACTCTCCAAATTGAGGTCACAGAGCCTGGCAGCAGGCACACAGTGGGGAGCATGGGCGCAGCCCGGAGCAGGGCGGAGATTCAGGGACGGGCTGGGGAGGAGCTCACCCTCAAGGGCTGCCCCTGAACTCAACACCCAGGTTCCCCCCACCCCTGACCCCTGCCTAGAAGCTGCTGGAACCCAAGCAAGCCCACCAATCTGCCAGTCCCCCACCTCCTACAGAGCCCTGTGGGCCCCATTAGCTGCCCCCACCCTATGGGGAGGTAACCAGGCTCCAAGGTCATGGCCAGCCCCTTTATGGCATCCTCACCCCACTCCTTGCCCTCTGACCCTGTCACTCCCCGATAGAGCTCGTGCCCTCACTCCCTACCCCTCTCCTCGAGAACTCTCAGTATTTCCCTCTTTACCAAAGAGGCAATGTGCCCTTTGTGACCCAGCCCCTGGCACAGCCTGCGCAATGAGAGCCGTCGTGGGTAGCAGCTCCTGAGTTTCTAGTGGATAAAATTCCCGAATAGGAATAATGATGAGGGAGGATCTTGGCACAGAGGATTTCATTTCCAGCCTCACAATAACTCTGCAAAGGAAGCACGATTGTGCACCCATTTCATGGGTGAGGAATCTGAGGCTCAGAGAGGCCCAGTAACCTGCCGTGGGGCACCCAGCTAGGGAGCAGCAGAGATGGAACTAGAAGTCAGGGCTGCCAGACGCGAAATATTCTACTAAGCCATGCTGTCCCTTGCAGCTGATCTTGGGGGTCCTCTAGTACAACTGTTTTGTTACAAATGGGGAACCTGAGGTAGGGGAAGGGGACTGGCCCCAGGATGCAGCCATGTCCAGCCTCCTCTCCCTGCGTCCCTTTGGGTCAGCTGTTTCCCGGATCCCGGGGCCCAAGGTCAACCAAACCTCCGCGCGGGATGCTGGTGGTGGCCTGGATCCCACACTCTTCCCTCCCGCCCCCCTTCCCAGGCACTCACGAGGTGATGAGCCTCCTCTCCAGGGGCCCAGCCGCGTCGTACATGGCCAGGCGGTCCCGGCAGTCGGCCCGTGTCCACTCCAGCCGAAGCTTGAGCATGAGGTCCGCGGGGCCCTGCAGGTGCCACAGGCAGCTGGCGGCCAGCTGGTCAGGCCCCTTCAGCCGGAGGACCTGGCCCTGGCCCACGTAGCTGTAGCGGTAGCAGCCTGGAGGGGCCGGGGAGATGATTTGTTTCAATCATTTAGAAATGTCAAAGCCGTTCTCGATTCATGGCTACAAAATCAGGGGCGGACTAGGTGGCCTGCTGTTGGCTGGCCTTGTACTAGACACCCCACGGGGCCCCCGAGCCCCTCGGGAATAATAACACTGATTGACTATTGACTGTTGATGAGGTCACAGACTCAGAAGACTGAGAAGCAGTGAGGGATTTTGGCTCTGTAGGAGGGTAACCCCCAAGGTTATGGTGGGACATCAACCAGCTGTGGTCTAACTTGACAATCTCACACCAGTGCTCTTTGTGTCCACTGAGGACAGCCAGATGCTAAGTAGCTAGGCAGATGCTACATAGATGATGAGCAGATGACAGAGAAAGAAAGATGCTAGAAGGTAGGTAGATGATAGATCAATTGATTGATTGATCGATCGATCCAGCAGTTTCTTGTGCTGTCTTTTGAAGCAGCTTTACCATCCTACGGGGTCCCTCATTCATAAGTTAAATAAATCTCTGCTAGGTGCTCCCTGCATCATTGTATAAGAATCACCACTTTAAACTATCTGAAACTTCACTTGGACCATATCACCTCCACCCACCCAGGAAGGAAACATCTCACCCGTGAGATAGAAGGAGAGGAAGTCAGAGAAGGTGTGACCAGGATTTAAACTGTCTCCCTGAGAGGAGGCTGAAGCTCTGAGCTCTGAGTAGAAACTCTAGACCGATTAGGAGAAATCAGGGTATTCAGGGGTTTGCTCAGGGCCGGAGCACAGTTGTGCACGTGGTGCACTGCACAACTCCAGGAGCGGCCAGCCCCATGGACCACAGCTCAGACAGAACTCCTTGTGTGGTGCAGTCTAGTGGCCTCAGTCCTTTACGCCCCAGGGCTGACCAGGAAGACTGCGGCCCTCTCAGACAGAAGCAGAGATCAGCAATACGGCAGCGGCTGGGGGAGAGGGCACATTAGCCTGGCTGGCTGGGACAGGGAAGGAACAGGTGGCGGGAAAATCCTTGAATGTCACGGCCATGTTATCTCCCAGAGGCCAAGTTTTGAACCAAAGTGACTGGCTACACCTTGAATTAGCCAGACTGTTTTCTACCGTCAGTGGAAAGGGGACTCACAGGCAAATTGATGGAAAACAGAGTCTTATTTAAATGCAATTACACTTGCTACTCACACTCAGCCCACACAGACCACACACACACTCGTGTGCAAGATACGCACACCTGCTCACAAACGCACACCTCCCCCACAGCCCCACTTGGGAGCCCTCCCGAGTCCTCCCTGGCATCCCCTGGGTAGGTCTAGGTCTGCACTCTCGTGCTGCCACGGAAGCCACCTGCCCACCCCACCACTCAGCCAAGTCAGGAAAAACACAACTCAAACAGAAAGCAGAGAGGAAAACAAAAATAGCGTACCCAGCGTGGAATTCAGGGCAACTATCTCTTTCACGCTGGCTTCTGTTAAAAGGAAACGAACAAACAAATGAAGACAAAAATAAATAAATAAATAAAATGAAATAAAATGAAAATAAAAATCGAGGAGACCGTCAGAGCCAACCTGTCTGAGATGGACCCTGAATGCTGAACCTCCCCCTGCCTGGGCCACCTCGGTCCTGGGGCCCCGGCCCACCCTGAGTGCACCCCAGCCCTGGCGGGCATCCTTCCTATACTGACCCAGGATCACCAGGCCCTCGGGGTCCACCTCATACTCAGCCCTGTAGGGAGCAGGGTCCGAGCTATTGACGGAAGACAGCAGCTCCTCCACCAGCAGCGCCTGCACCACCTCAGGGCTCAGCGACGGCCGGCGGTGCTCAGGGATTTGGAGAATGAACCAGAAGAAGCAGGTGAAGGGCCCCTCCCTGAGGCAGGCAGAGGAGAGAGGGACTGGGGAGGGTGGACAGTCCACCTGCACCCAGTCCCTGCTCCCCTGGGGGAGAAAACCCAATGCAGCACCTACACTGAGCGCTAACTACCTCCCAGGTGGTGGGCTCCATCTTGGCGGGGAGGCCTCCTACCTGGCTCTGAGGGAAGTGCTCTCATCAACCCCATCTTGCAGTTGAGGAGCTGAGGCAAGAGAGGCTGGGTTGTGTGCCACAGACCACATGTGAGTGGGGCAGCTGGACCCCTGCCTTGGCCTCCTGGATTCACCAGGGCCTGGATATGCCTGTCATGCCCTGGTCCAGAACCCCCTCCATTGCGCAGGCCCAGCCCCCAGGTGCAGAGACCCCGCTCAGCGAGGGAGGCCACACACCAGCCAAGTGGCCTCTCTGTGCCTCAGTTTCCCCATTTTAAAAAATTGAGGGCTTTATAGCAGAAATTGACAGTGACCCCAACCCCCAATCTTGAGTGTGAGGTGCTAGCATGGGCTGGGAGGGGCAGGGTAACTCACCCAAAGGAGTAGACCGAGCTGGAGTTGTAGTAAGTGCCCAGGCGGGTGCTGGCAATGAGCTCCTTGAGCTAAAAGGAGGGGGAAAATAGCCCCTGGTGACCCCCTGGGGGTACATAGCCCCACTGTCTCCCAAACCCCCTCCCACCCCGGGATGCCCTCCAGCCCTTGCGGCCCTGCCTGAAGAGGAGCCCCTGGGCCGCGGGTGGACAGGCTGGCCCAGGCCAAAGTCACACCCATTCCCACCCTCAGGCTCTGCCCACCCTAGCACTCACCCCCCAGACCACGAGTGACCTCTCTCCCAGTCAAAAGTCACTCCTCAACCCTGAGGAGCCCCAGGGGACTCCCAGACCCCTGCTGGGTCTATAGCTCAGGCAGTGGGTCTGCGCCCGTGACTGCTCTTCACAGTCCTGAGGGTGGACCCCGGCAGGCCTGCTGTCCCCAGGCACTTAGAGTGGCACAGAGAGCTTCCCCCATCCTGCCCTTGCACAACCTGGCTCTGCTATCACCCCCCTGACGAGGCAGGAGAGAGACTTGGCTTGGTCCCCAGAGGCAGGTCCTGAGCCAGGGACGGGAGGCCAGGGGCTTATTTGGAGGTGATCCAGGGGAACGCGGGCACGGGGGTGGGGAAGAGACAGGAAGGGGGGCAGCCAAAGGGCTGTGAAGGAGCAACTGTGCAGGCAACTGAGGGGCAGTCCACCAGGAGGGCCCTGAGAGAGGCGGGGCATCCCCAAGGCTAGAGGGAGCCGGGGCAGCAGCCACCGTCTCCATCTCTCCTGGCCAAGCGTAGCAGCAACTTCTTGGGACCTCCGTCCGGCCTGCCCTGCTGGACAGGGTGTGGTCCAGTGGCCTCCGAGAGGGAAGTGCTGGCAGCATGAGACCACTCCCCCCTCCCCCACAGAGTAAAAGCCATGGGCCTGGAGGGAGGGCTTGTGGGTGGGGCCCTGGCAGCACCCCTGCGCCCCTGCTAGGTGGCACAATTAGGATTTAATCCAAGGGCACAGGACTCCGGAGTCCACCAACTTTCCCACCATCCTATGTCATGTCCCCTTCTATCGTGGGCACAACAGGTTCTGCTCCCATCAGCGCCCCGCTTCTTACCCCATCCCCCCCCCCCCCGCGCCCTCCCTACCATCTTCTGGGCTTTGGCGGTTTCACTGCGGAAGGCACTGGACTCCCGGCGGGCCAGGTCCTGGGAGAAGTGGCGGTTGAGCACGCGGAGGCTGCCCGAGTACACCTGGCTGACGGTCCCCTCTGCCTTGTACCCTGCCCAGGAAGAGACCAGCAAGTCAGCACGGGAAGAGCCTGGGGTGGCTCCCCCGAGCCTTCCCTGCCTCCTTGAACCCTCAGCCCAGTCTCCAACAGCTTGAGCTCCCATCGTCCTTGTCATTGCCATCAGCATCATCTAAGGATGATTTCCTGACAAACCGGCCCCAAGGTGCCAGGGAGAGAGGCCACAGACAGATGGTGTCCCAGAGGCTGACGCAGTGACCAGCCCAGCATGAGGGTGACATGAGGGCCAGGGAGCCCACATGGGCCCGGAAGGTCAGGTTCCTGGCACCCACTCTGGGGTACTCTAGCAAATCAAGACAGACGTGTCCCTGTGGGAAGCTGACAGTGGTGCGTAAGACAGGTGCCACTCCCGTGGCCACAGCAGGCAGGCCTCACCTGAGGGATGGCTTCAAGGAGTCACCGAGGGGACAGGACAGAGATGCTGGGTCTGGGCCAGGGTGACCCTTTAGCCAAAGCAAGAGGGTTGAGAAGAGGGGAGGAAAGGTAGTGCCTTCGGAAGCGAGGAATCGCATGTGCAAAGGCCCTGAGGCAGGAACTTGTCTGGTATGTTTGAGGAAGAGCGGAGTGATGGCAGGGGGTCTGGCAAGATGGGAGCCACCAAAGGTTTTAAGCAGAGGTGACGCGATTCCATTCGCTGTATGAAAAGACCCTCCTAGGAGGCACGGGCAGAAGCAGGGAGACAGTGAGGCGGCTCCCGCTGAGAGACCTCCCGGTGACAGCCCAGGGTGCCTGGCCGGGCTGCGCGGTGGAGAACGTGAGGAGAGACTGGAGGCAGGAGTAGGCTGGAGGCAGAGATGACTGGGTTTGCTGGTAAATTGGGGCCAGAGTGAAGCAGAGTAAGAAGTCAGGGGGAGCAAACAGAGGGATGAGATGCACAGACGGGTGGAGCGGGGAGCTGCATCCTGAGCCAGGGGTATGTGAGATCCCTCAGACATCCCGGAAGAGGGACCCCCCGCAGCAGCCAGGGAGAGACCCAGGCTGGAGATGTGCATGTGAGAGTCACCAGGGTATAAAGGGCATTTAAAGTCGAGTGCTCCAGTCAGAGCAGGAAAGAAGTGGGCAGAGGTAGAGAGGAGCATCCCCCACCTGGGAGAGCGAAAGAGGGGGTGCTGCAGGGGCCAGGGAGGAAAGGGTTTCAAGGAGGAGGGGTGTGGTGCCTGTCAAGGTCAAGTGCTGCCATGGGTCAGAGGCGATGAGATGAGGAGGCCTGGCCTCCTGGTCCAGAGCCGCTGAAATGGAAGGGGATGCGGAGCCAGGCTGGAAAGGGAGGCAGAGACTGGTGCAGGGAATGGAGACAGCAGCACCTTGAGAGGGCTCTTTCGAGAAGTTTGCTGTAAAGGGAGCAAAGGCGGCACAGAGGGGTTCAGGGCAGGAGGCGTGAGAAGGGCTAGGGGCATCGCTGGAGCCCCCACCCCATGAGCACAGGGTGCGATCTGGAGGGAGAACAGCTGGCGTTAGACACGGGGTGGTTCCCCCAGGAGGGCAGAGCACCTGGGTGTAGCTGGGTATAGCCAGAATCTAGGGAATCTCCCCTCAGCAGTTCCATTTTCTCTTGAAGGTCGGGTGTGAGAGGGGGCCCAGCGGTGGAAGGTTTAAGATAAAAGCATAAAACTGCCTGAGGGGAGAGAGAGGCCCAGGAATCACAGCTGGGCAGCATGAAGCACCCATGGCCTAGGGAAGCCAGCCCTGCCCTGTCCTCCCAGGGGTTCCTGGGCCCACCCTGGGCCCACTTGTTTGTCCTTTGCTCGTCAGGTGGGCGAGCCCACTCCAGGTCAGCCTCCTGTGTGTCTGTCTCCAGACCCCACCTCCCCATCAGGGGCCTGGAGCACAGCCTGGCCTGGGTGGAGGAATCCTTCAAACTTCTCCTGAAGTACCTCCTCTACCCTAATCCCTGCGGGTGCCAGGCGTTAGCTTCCCTCAGCTGAGACTTGGGAGCACTCCCCCTGAGTCCTCAGCCCACAGGGCTCCCGCCCCCAAGAGGGCGATTTACTCCAGTTGCTAATCAGGAGGAATTAGACTGTCTGCAAAGAAAGACAACTGGAAGATGAGTTCTTGGCCCTCCAGCCTGCTGCTCCATGGTTTACCCTGAAGATTAATTATCCTGCAGCCCAAGGAGGCCTCAGTAGCCCGCGCTATTTGGGGCGCTGGCTTCCTGCCGGTGGTGAAGTGCACACAGCTTCCATTCCCTGCCGCGATGCTCGGCTTGGAGCAGCGGAAGGACGATGCACCTGAGTCAGGGTGAGTCCGTTTGCAACAGACCCCAGCTCTGAACAGCACAGCATCAGCCCAGGGCCAGCTCTGCACAACGCCCGCCCTCTGTGCCGGAGCTGGGTTGACCTGGTCTCCCCATGATGGCTCCAAAGTGCCCCCCTGCGATGTGAGCTAGAGCCGGGGAGCACTCTGCCCTGGGCCGGGTTGAATGGGAAGCCTCTGATCAACAACAGCTGGTGTCCCAGCTGTGCCCCCTGCCCCTCAGCCTCCTCTATCCTGGCACACTCGTGAGTTATGGGAAGGGCAGAGCCTGGCACATAGTAGGTGACTTTATCTCCAAATGAAGGAAGGCGTGAGCCTCTACGGTGACCAGGGAGTCTTCCCATGGGCACGTCTGGTCTGGTGTGTCCCTTACTCCACGGCCACGGGCCGAGGAAGGCCACGGTCTCCATCAATTTCAGAGACGTACAGTCGGTGCTCGAGAGAGTTCGCGGGACGCCTGAACGGCTGCACGGATCATGAATGAACGAAAGGAAGGGTGGACAAATGGACCCAGAAAATGGACCAGTTGTTCCTGGGGCCCCAGGGACTGGTTGAGGCTGTGGTACCCGGCAGGAGGACCCAAATTCAGGCCCTGGCAGAGGCCCTGGCTGCTTGCTCTGAACACGGCAGATCCCCACCCCCTTCCTCACGCGTGTTGAATTCACGCTGCTCAAGTGTGAAAGTCGATGCTGTGAGGAACCCCCCATGCCTGAGGACTGGGTCCCCTCTGCTTCTTCCTCCATCCCTGCCAGGCCCTGGAGACCCAGAGCTGGTAGAGCTGTGGTCCCCACCCTAGAAAAGCTCCCGGGCTGGGCTCAAGTGAGCAGAAGCACTAATTGGTGCAGGCACCAGTGGCGCCACTGGGCCTCCTCCAGCAGAGCCAGTTGGCTCTGAGCCCCGGGGCAACCCAGGGGGGCTGCTGGCAAGGGGAGGCATTGTTTACGCTGCTTCAGCTTGTCAGTTCACAAGAACAAGGTGCTCTGAGACACTCCTTCCCCTTTGGGGGCCAGGGAGCTGGGGGTTCTGTCCTGAGCAAGGAACTTCCACTTGGCCTGAGCCATAGGACCTGAAATGTAGGTACAGCAGCTGCCACCTCATAGTGTGGGGGGAGACTCGGAGAGAGGAAGAACCTGGCCCAGCTGAGTTGCTAGGTATCCATGGTCAGGCCTTGAGTCCTGGTCCTCTGTGCCCCCACTGCCCCCCAAGTCCCCCCCAGGTGCCTCTCCCTGGTGAGCCCACATGATTACCTAGGAAATACCAGAGCAGGACCCCCACTGCAGCCAGCATGACCAGCGCCAGCCACAGGGGCGCCAGGCGGAGGTAGTCCCGGACTTTTCTCCTTGATTCCACGGGCGCCTTGAGCATGCCCTCCGGCTCTGCCTCCTCTCCATCACCTCCGTCCCCCTGCCCGCCTGTCACCTGCGGGGCCTTGGCCATGGGCATCCTGGTGGGGAAGCAGAATAGGGAGTTGGGAACAGCCTGGTATTTGTGCGGGAGCCTTTGCTGAGAACCACGGGTACACGAGAGCTGGATAGCACCCCTGCCTTTGGAGGAGGAGGCAAGCCCCAAGTAGCAGTGACTCAAAGTGGGCGCTGCCCGGCCAGCTTGCCAAGGGGGATAGCAAGTCCGAGAGCAGCTCCCCAAGAGGCAGTGGCAGCGCGGGGTCAGCGCACCCCTCAGCCCTGCCTTACTGCGGCCACTGCCAGATCTCCATGGTTGAACCCACCTGCACCCGCTACCCCCAAGGCTGCTCCCAGATGGAGCTGGAGTATCTGGGGTACAAATTTCTGAGCCAGCTTCTCAGCATTCCTTCTGGTAGGAAGGGGAATGCTCTTCCTCCGCCTGCTTCTCCATAGTGGGGTTTTCCGAAATGGGGACACCAAGAACCTGCCCCTCCCCAGCCAGTGCTGTGCGGGACCAGGGTCCCGGCCCCCCGCCCATCCAAACCTCTTAGGGGTGAAAAAAGGAGGCAAAACTAATATTCATTTCACGGTCTAATCATTTCACAGACGTCATCTCGTCTAGTCCCCCAGTGTCCCCGGGGTGGCCACTGGCCCCCACAGTGCTGCCTCAGGCCACTCTGCGGACACTTTCCACGTATTATTTTGCTTAAGCCTCCAAACACCTGCCAAGCTTCCGCGCCCACTGGACAGATGAGGAAACACACCCAACTCAGTCCAGGGGGTGCCTGACTTCATTTCCCCAAAGCGATTTGAATAGAATATCTGGCCCTATCTTGCAGCTGAAACATCCAAAGCCCAGAGAGGCTAAGCCTCGTGCAAGGTCACACCGCAGGGAGCGCAGGTGTCAGACTCTGCCTCCTCGGTGTCCCCACGGCTGCCTCCCCTCTGCAAGCTGTTAATTATACATTGTGATTAAATAATAACTGAATGTCACCCCTCTCGTGCTCAGGTCTACAGATTATCTTCAGAGCTCCCCCCACCCCAGCACACTTCCGAGTGTGATTTAGGGCCACGGAGAAGACCCCTCCCCGTCTACCACCAGCAGGACAAGGTCCCAGGGCCCTGAGAAGTTAGGCTGCTTTTACTACTGCCACTAACACCATTGTGATTTTATAATCCATCCCGGCTGTGTACATGTGTGTGCACGTGTGTGTGTACTTGTGTGTGCACGTGTGTGCGTGTGTGTGCGTGCATGTGTGTGTCTCCTGAGAGTTATTTCTGGCTACATAGTGGGTTTTGGGAAACAGAGCTCCTCTTGCAGTCTTCCCATCTGGAAATAAGGCTCCCCACCCCCGTCTGTCCCCCCTGCTCCCGCTCCCTACCCATCACTCCTCTTGGCTCGGCTCCCAGTCAAGGCAAGGAGGGTAAATCTCCCTGATGGGTGGGCAGCTCTGCCCACTGCCTGAAGTGTCCACAGCACTCCTGGTGAGAAGCTGGCTGTCCCCCCGCCCTGAGGGGGCCTCCATGGGGGAGCTGGGCCCAGGGCAGAGCCTCAGCTCTCTCAGCCCCAGGGGCAGCCACACTCCTGTTTTACTCTTGAGTCTGGGTCACCAAGGAGCTATTTCGGGATGACTCATAGAGCCGTAGGGACTTGGGGGCACAGAGGTGACAATAGTTGACATTTATACTCACTCTGTCACGTAAGCCCCTCAGGCCCCTATGCGCAGGTTCTCTCATGACCCCTGTTTTACAGATGAGTAAGTTGAAGCACAGAGAGGGCGAGCAGCTTGGCCCAGGTCAGGCAGCTGGTCAGCAGCAGCATCAGGCTGCACCCCTAGAGGTTTGTCTCCAGAGCAGCGCCCTGACCACTAGGCTCTACTGCCTCACACAACATCACTGCGGGAAACTGAGACTCACAGGAGATCCCAGAGCATTAGAGGAGGGACCAGGAGGAACAGTGAGGTAGGACACGCTCCACCCGCTCTGCATCCCCCAGACTGGGCCTTCATGCTGCTGCTGCCTCCCTCATAAACACCCTTGGTACCTTCTGGGGGGACCGAGTGTCCCAGAAACCCCATCGTGTAAGAACCAGGGCTTAGACACGGTGGGACAGTTCGCCGGGCCTGGAGCCTCTCCCGCCTGCGCTGCTGGCAGCCTCTGGCTGGGTGCCTGCCTCCCACCCCCTCGTCCACCTCGTCCTTCTCGCAGTCACCGAGAGCGTCCCCTGCCCGCCTCCAGCCGCTCACCCACTCCCTTGCTGCGGCACCCAAGACCCCCCACGGCAGGCTGCTGACCCCTGCTGTGGCTCCACCACGCACCCTGCGGGCCCGCGAGACGTGTCTATGCAGCCGCAGCCTCTGCCTGAGGGCCAGGGGCCAAGGAGGCCCCAAGGTGCCGGCTGGGCAGTAGGTCCCTGGCCCAGGGAGTTGAGCCACCTCATCCCTGGGCAGCCCTTCATCAGACAACACACGTGACTTCTGACTTTGCTGCTCACCCTACCAGGAAAGTGTCTTTCTGGGTCTTGTTCACCCCCGGCTCCTGTGGAACCCGGCCTGGGCTGCCGTGTGAGTGAATGCTCCACAACAGGATGAATGGATGAGAGCCCGGAGTCCCCGGCTCCCAGACCATAGCTCTGCCCCATAGGCGTTGCCTGCAGGAGCAGGACCTGGCGGCTGGGAGCTGGCAGAGGCGGAGGCCCAGGGGCCTGGACACAGCGGCCGGTCTCGGGTGCTCGTCTGATTCGGGTGCTGTGCTCCCTGGGGAGCCAGAGGCGACTAAGACCTAGAGTTATGCAGGGTGAGACCTGGGAGGCACAGTGGTGGACGTGAGACCCCATTCTCGTCCTCTCGGAGCTGATAGCCCAGCAGAAGATGGACGGCGGCGATGGTAGACTGAAGCTCCCCCTGCCAGGCCCGTCTTGTGATACAACTCCTCCCTCCTCAGCACCTCCATGGCTCCGCCATCGCCCACTGTAACTCTTGCACCAGCCAGTGGCATCACCCTCCAGCCTCCCCACCCCATGAACTACCCCCTAGCATGGGTGGGCCTGGCTCTGCAGGCTCCGTCCTCCTAGGAGCAGAACCAGGGCCCTTATCGGGGCGCCGGAGGCCCTACAGCCTGTGGCCTGGCATTTCTTTCCACCCTCTCCCTCCCTCTGTGGCAGCGGCTCCAGCGCCTTGCCAGAACTTCAGTTTATCAAGTACCCCCTGATTCAGGCTTTGGCCCTGGCTGCTCCCCCCAAAACGCTCTTCCTTTAGCTGACCTCATGGCATACTCCTTTACCTCCTTCAGGTCTTTGCTCAAATGGAAACTTCCAGAGGTCTTTCCTCACCACTCCCTCTCACAGCTGTACTTATCTTTCTGGCACTTCTGGAGACTCCACTGGGGAGAAGCTCAGGTGCCCTCTGTCTCTTCCCTGCTGTGAGCTGTGCGGAGCAAGGGCTCCTGCCCTTCCCACCGCTAGAGGATGCCAGTCTGCCCACTGGCAGCTGAGCTGGGGGCCCAGCCTGCGCCTCCTCCTCATGCCTGCCCTGTGCTGTGCCTCCTGGGCCTGGGTGATTGCTTTCTGAGCTCTGCTTGGAGGAGCGGCGGTACGGACTGCTGAAACAATCTCCCCGAGGCCAAGGAGCCAGGGCAGGGCAGAGCCGAGCGGGGCAGAGCAGCGACCCTGACCTAGGGCCTACAGAGAGACGGCACGGCGGGGGCCTCGGGGCGGTCCCTGCCGCCAGCCACCATGACTGTGTCCGAATGGGGGGAGTGAGTGAAAGTCCCTCCCCCATGAACGCTTGGAAACTCACACAAATGGAGACACAGTGAGGCACACCCATCTAGCTGCAATGCACGAACTCTCACTACACACACACACACACACACACACACACACACAGACATGGCCAACTGCCCACCACACTGAGCTGTGAGCTAAGGGTCCATGCTGAGCACAGGTTGGGGCTCTGCCCTGTCTCCCTCATCAGAGAGCCCAGGGTGGGGGGACTGGATGTGGAGTGGCACAGGGGCAGCATGTCCAGTTCTGCCGAGTAGGGTGGGTGGTCTGCTAAGAGCTGGCCTCTGCCCTGCGCTGACCCTGCCCCAGAGTCCACCAGCCCCACCTGATCTCCAGGCCTCCCGGTACCCCGAACCTAAAGCCGCCTGCTGCCCTGTGCTCATCTGCACGCTAGGCCAGGCTCCACCCTGTCCTGCCCCAACCCCTGCTCTGTGGACCCCTCACCTTTGGCTTAGCTGTCACTCTCTGGCCGGTGCAGCCCAGCAGCCCTGGTCTCAGAACCTCAGAGATCCAGGCCCAGCTCTCAGAGTGGACACTATCACCGGGTCATTCATAGACCCGGTTCCCTGTCCTGGAGCCCCCCGCTTACCTCTGGGAGTGGCAGGTGGGTCCCGGGCCTGCAAGCAGGCCTCAGAGCCTCTGTTTGTCCAGGTCAAGGTCTCCCCACCCCCACCTAGCCAGCCTGGGATGGATCAATGGCCCGGAGCCATGAGCAGGGTGTCTGGCCCTTGTCCCCTGTGGCCTGTGGCCCCAGGCTCCATGGGCCTCTTGCCGGTTTTGGAATGGCACTGTGACTGAGCACAGGTAAACAGGCAGGAGGCGGGAGACAGCGGTGCCTACCCGGCCCCGCCCCACCCTGCCCCGCCCCATGGGCACCCGAGAGGCTGGCAGGCAGGTGTGGAGATCTGAGCTCTCCCCCGAGGCCTGTTGCCTGGTGACATCCCTGCCTGGTGACAGCCCCCTCCGTGAGAGGACGAGGTAGGGGCCGCTGAGGACGGGGGCTGTGCAGAGGCAGGGTCTCACATGGTCTTCTTACCTGGACAGCTGAGGCCAGGGAGCCACCAGGCCAAGAAGAAAGGAAGTTGGCCTGTGTGGTCTGGGGACTGAGAGGCGCGCGGGGTGGGGGCGGAGCCTGGTGCCATTTTCTATTTAGCCGGAGGTTGTCTTAAGAGCTGCCTGATTCTATAGAGCTGTGCTGTCCATTTTGGTGGCTACTGGCCACATGAAACACTCAAGCACCTGGAAAGCGGCCCCTC